ACACAACGCGTTTCACGTTCGGGCCGGCTCTCGGTGTAAAAACGTGCAGCGTGTCGCCTGCACTACTCCCCACTATTAACGAGGACTCGAGGACGACTACCCCAAAATCGGCAATTCCTTGGTCGGCGAGCCCCTCCCAAGCAATTTATAGGAGGCTCAGACGCAGCGGTGGACTGGGAAGAAAGAGGAGTACGAGACCGCACGGAAGGAAAAGCGTCCAAGTAGCTTGGCGAAGCGAAGACTGATCACGGATCGTGCACCGAAGGCTAGACAATACCATGCAGAGATCATGGGAGTCACCGAAGAGAAACTCTCATCTGCAGATAGCCGAAACTGTCGATATTACACCAGGGTACTTATTCACAAAGAATCGGTATTTTATCAAGAGTCAAAGTGCCTTTCCAGTGTTTGCCGAGGAACAGCACACGCACCGCAACATCCATCATAGTCGGCTTCGAGCTTGTCGGGACTCGGAAAGTTCAGAGCGGAATGAAACAACTGCAAGAGCATATCTTGCCTCGAATGGATAAGCATATATATTGTCTCTACATTCATGTATCAGTTGCAATAGCACAAGAAAGCAGACTCAGGTATGTATCTTTCTTATCTTACAACGAACTGAGCTCAAATTGGATACTCAAAGTCGGATCTTGCCGAGAAGCGTCCACAGCTTCAGGATGCGGACATATTCTCTTTCCTTCTATCTCATGTCTTTGCTGTATTGGTGCGTTGTTACTACTGGTACAACTTCAAATTTCTAACCAGCCCAGCTCCCAACCAGCTCCTCTAGATAACCGCCAAACCCGTATATTCGATTTCGCTCTATTGTCGCCGGACGCCATACCTATACTATGCTACCTTCATCCACCCCGAAGAAAAGATTCATTTTCCCAGACACGATATGGCTGGGAGGAAAGCACGACGGGTATCCGCTCACATTGTTCGACGAGTACTTGAATGTGCGCGGTGCTCCAGTCCCGAACTCGGAGCCTATTGCCCTGTATCAATCCCTCTGTACATTTGGTCTACTGGAAGCCGTGATGGGAGTCAAGATACCCGAGAGCACCCTTCTTCGCCAGGATGCTGAAGGGAAGATCGTGATGACTGACAGATATCTTCCCGACTTGCTGCAAAACTGGCGGGACCGTATTCGGCAGAGCGATCAGAGTTCCCAACGCCAATGGGCAGATCACTTGTACAGGGAGATGACAAAGATGCACGGCCTTTTTATGTTTGAAATGAGCCGCCCGCATAGTAGGGTGGTGTTCTTCTCAAGTGGACACAGCATGGAAGAGATAGGTTCTATTTTCCGGCTCACAGGGTGTATAACGGAGGCGCTGTGGAGTTCGTGGCCGAACTTTCCATTTACGAACGGGATGCGGGACGCTGTATCATCGGCGACATACCTACTTCCTGTCGGATCCGAATACATGACGAAAAGTATGGTTTCCAATGGATGGTGCCCTTTCACCATCCAAATCCTTTCCTAGAGTGTGTGCGTATTGAGCTACGCGAGCACACGAAAGCCATACGTTCGAGACGCTGTTGAGGGACACCACAAATGCACAGAGACCGCCTGTGCTATCAACACAATTGACACCTCCAATTACTTCAACAGACACACGGTGGAAGGATGCACTTGTGCATATTTGAAACCTTCTTTAGAGCAAGTTTGCGGCTCTCTAGAAAATGGCGAAATTCCCGTTGTCCATCAGCTTGAGCCCAACGGCGGTTTAATCTCCAGCGACGGCTCGAAGACCCCCTATATCGCAATATCTCACGTTTGGGCTGATGGACTCGGCAGCACAACCGAGGTTGGACTCCCTACATGCCAAATCAATCGACTGGCGAATATAGTTCGTCGAATGATACCTAGTGGTGCATTTTGGATGGATGCACTATGCGTTCCGGGAAAGAGGGATCTGAGGAAACGCGCCATCGTATTGATGGCAGAGACGTATAGGAATGCGGACACCGTGCTGGTGATTGACTCCGGCATTCGCTCCTGCTCACTTTCTGCCCCTCCAGAAGAGAGACTACTTCATATAATATCCTCGGGATGGATGCAGCGTCTTTGGACACTTCAAGAAGCCCTATTGGCGCGGCAACTCGTTTTGGAGTTCGCAGATAGCTTCGCGGCACTCGGAGACAAGCTAATTCCTGCGGAAGGCACGCCGATCCATTTGGAAGACACACCGACCCGCGTAGAAGACACACCAACCCGTGTAAAAGACGCACCAACCCGTGTAGAAGACGAGGTGAACCGTGTGGGAGAGCACGCAGGGGATGTACTGATATCTCAGCTAGCTGCTGAAATATTCCGTCTCAGAAAATACCGACGCTACGCCCGCTCCACTAGCTTTACCCTAGGAGATGTGGCACAGTCTCTTCGTTGGAGAACCACCAGTAGGCCGGAGGATGAAACACTGGCCATATCTGGCTTGTTGAACGTCGATGCGTTTGAATTAGTCAACCTGCCAGCTTCTCAGCGGATGATGACTCTGCTTCTTCGAGTGCAAAAATTGCCTCGCAGTATCATTACCATCCCGGGTCCAAAGTTGTACGAGGTCGGCTTCCGATGGGCACCCAAAACTATGATGACAAACATGCAGCTCTCTATACCCGCTTCCGAGCCGTCACACAAGGCTTCATGTACACCTCAAGGGTTGATCGCGGATTACGTTGCTGTCTATTTCAAGGAGAATGCCACCATCACCAATACCAATACTAGAGGCGTGCATTGTTATATTCGTGATCACGCGAAGGAGCGATTTTATAAAGTCAAAAATTTCTCTGATGCATACCGAGGACTATTCCTGCCGTGTTCTACTGCTCATGTCCCTCCCGGGGCCGGGAGACATGTTGTTTTGTGTAGCATGTAGGGTGGTTGGTACGATACCATATGAGGGGCCCCCCGAGGATCCAGACGGGCAGCAAAGGATTATTTGTGAGTATCAAGGACTATTAATTTTGTTCGGTATGACTGCGGCCGAGTTCGACACCGAGTGGAAAATAGCAGAAACGAAGGAAATGATAGAAGCGGAGACGGGAAGGATGCACGTCCTCATAACATGAGTTTGTTCCCAAGTACAAATAGTAGTTCTGAGTCTCAGAATGTTCGTTCGCTATCCCGCACCTGGATCACCCCTCGTTACGATGCTTTCGCATCTATTGCGTTAACGAGCACTGTGGTATGTTCTTTCTTTGTTTCATGACTGTACGAGGTCACTGTGACTGTAACTCGGACAGAGCCAAGATGGGATGCAACTATAATCAATTTGTGAATACATCAATATCAGTGGGAAGTATGACGCCTTCAACTTGCACCACTTTCCGATCGCTGCCTCGTCAATCTTGGTAATGTAGTAGCACTAGAAACTATACTCAGAAACTGAGTTGAAATGCAGGAAAGTATGCGCTTACTACCAAGATCATGGAAATATGGGCATAGACGCACAGGATTGCGATTGGTGTAACAACCCATGGTCCTCAGGCTTTCAACTTTGGATATCACAGAGTCGATAGTAGAAGTACGCTTGTACGTATACCCCGATGGAGGCGACCTTTCAGAGTCTTAAGGCGAGGAGAGAGGTCTAGCATGCCCAATACGCACGAAGAGGGAGTTAAATGATTGCCACCATGCGGTATAATTTAGATTGATGGCGTCGGCAAAATCGTGAACGTACAAAATGCTTTGGATCCACATGAGAGCGCTGGAGCACGCTGCGGTTGAGGAAAAAGTAACAACACTGGTTTGTATGCACTCACAAGGACTGTATAGATTTGAGCGCCCTCAAAAGCATCACCACCGACGGCCCACTCTCGGGCGGGGAGTCGGCTTTCACCTCGAGGATCTGGCAGCGGCGGAACCCCCAAGAATGAGACGTCGCGGAAAGGATAACACTTGCACATTCTTGTTCATCCAGGTCGCATGTCTGATGCTCGCAATACCCTGGATTGTCTTTCTCATCACCGTCGCTGCATTCAAGGAAGATACGTGGTACCTCCTGGGTGTTGGGTGTCTAGGCATGGTGCAGAATGTCTTGGTGGCGGGAGCCGAGCGGCACATCAGCACGAGCGGGATCCACCTGGAAGAGGTGGAAGAGTACCAGCAGGAAGAGGTTATAGACGCGCTGATGGACCTTGAGGAAGACTATCCCAAAGTTGGCAAGTCCTTGGTTGGCGAGCTCTTCCCAAGTGGCTTATATGAGGCTGAGGCGCAGTGGAGGGCGGGGAAGAAAGGGGGATACGAGAGTATCCGGGAGGAGAAGCGGCCGGGTAGCTTGGCGAAGCGAGTGCTGGTCACGGATCGTGCAGCGAAAGCCAGACAATACCATGCAGAGATCATGGGAGTCACGGAAAAGAAACTAGTACCGTCCGCAGACGGCGGCAACCTTAATATTACGCCGACGTAGTGAATCACAAAGAATCGATATTCCTTGCATGAGTCAGTGTCTGATAACCTGTTCACTAGGGGCTAAAACTCACGGGGGGCAACGGGTACTGTGAACGGAGAGTGTACTGGAGAGAGCGATACAAACGTCTACGTGAGGGAAGGAGGGAAAGGAAGAATGGGGAGTTCTGCGAAAGTAGGCTATTTATACGAGGCGGAGGCAGAATGGGACGAAAACAGAATATTAGTCCGAGAGCATGGGTATACGTCATCGTAAATAAGGGCGGACTGACTTGCCCTTTATTATGATCTATTATAGTCGGCTTCACAGTCATCTCGTCGAGTTATACAGACTAAAAGATATACTATCCTCTGTCTGATCTAACTTGTTACTTTAATTTGCTTTCGGTTCCTGAATCCCTATTTGCATTCTCCGATTTAATTGCAGGTGTCTTCAGTAGATTATTGAGAGAGAAAGTTCCAATTAATGCTGACCAATGACCGAATCGACGATAAACAGTACTGTACGAAGCTGCGTCGAAGCAATTGAAATTTCAAGAGGGCCAACATCACAAATCTATTGATTGTGCTACTCAGCAAGTAAAAATTCGGATACGGGGAATCGAACCCCGAGCTGCCGCGTTAAGCCTGAGTAACTTCATGAGAGGCGGCAATGTTAGCCGTTACACCATATCCGACTGCTGTTTGCCGAGATGTGAGCAATTATTTCCCGTGCCTGGATGGTGGAACTTCTTTGACAAGCGCGGAAACTTCGTCCCGATCTCAGGTGACTCTTACGTTCGCGTTGTCATCGCTACCCCTGCAAGGACACAAAATAGTATTGTGGGCACCGTATCTCCTTGCCTGAAGACTCCTCCGAGTCACCGTGAGTCAAGCATACATTCTCACTGCTCAGAACATCCACCAAGCCGTTACTCAGATACTACGTCGAAAACGCAAAAAGTTTCCGATTCTCAGGCTGTCTCAGCGTCCTGAACAAGGATCACACTTGCACAGCATCCGAGCATTTCTCCCTGTGAAATCTCCGCCGCAGTGATGGCAGAGTTAACCGCGCGCACAATGGAAGACGTAAACCGCGTACGCCACAGTCCAGTCCCCCGACCCCGTGGAAATTCGACCAATTACCAAAAAGTTTTGTCATCGTGGTTCATAAATGGGGTTTTGTCGTCTGTCCGACGTGTGGGCCTTCCTTCTTTTTAACTGCTACGTGTGAGTGAGGGAGCGCACCTACGGGCCCCGGACGTCGTTGTCCAGACTCCAATATGGACGCCCAGGAATACACAGCCGTTGCGTTCAATGTATATGCGTCGAGATATGCAAGCAGTGAGTCGTCGTTACCAAACGTGTCTTGTATTTCCATTTTGATGTTCATATTTCAACAGTTGCCGGCTACGTGGTGGGTTGAACTTTACCTTTACGCGGTGACTAGGATGCTCATCGGGTTAGCTTATGCTTTACGACCACATATTGACGTTCGACAAGGAGGTCAGATTCATATGGGCGGCTCCATGGACATTACCCAAGATACTCTTCCTTATCATCCGTTATTTCGTTCCAGCCTTCGTCCTTATCCACCTCTGCCGTAAGTCGCTCCAGGATCATTCTATGGCAATTCAACGACTTGACGTGTGAATAAATATTTCGCAGAGCTGACAGGATTGAGCACTTTCTCCGATATGGTGGGTAGCTTCCTTCCGAGTCGGTTTAGTATACGGTATACTGACGGCTCCTTACTAGTTGTAAGTCTTATCGGTTTTCAAACGTTATTTCGAACCTGATACCAGCACCGAACGGACCAGCTGTAAAGTCTGGTTTAATGTATCCGTGAGTTTCGTCTCCGCTATCGAACAGGGCTGTCTCTGATGTGCATCTGTAGGCCTCCATGGGTATCATCACCATCGCCATAGGAAATTGTAAACCGAACTTGTCACTTTTTATTTGATTCCGTTCTCATCCGTCGTACGCAGTCCTGGCCCTTATGCATATATGGAATCTCTGGGACAGAGACGGACGGCTCATGATCTTGACCTCATGTCTGTTCGTGGCAACCCAGATAGCCAACCTCGTCTGCCTGACGTTCGCCCTCCTACATATCACCGGTGAGTACTCGAGCGAGTAGGCTCACTCAGCCAAGCTTATCTCCATTCCAACTATTATCAGAATCCGTCTACTTCAATCCCACTTTCTCAATGTGCATGCTCACAGACCGCCACTCAGCCGGAATCATTTGGGCACCAGGGGTAAATCTGCCGTATTCTTTGCTCTCCTCGAATTTCGGTCTGACGCCGTTTTGGGTGCGATTAGGTGGCGTTCGAAGCTGTCATATTTTCTGCTCTATTCTGGAACGCGCTCTCCCGACCTCGGTATTTCGAGGATGATTTCACCAAAGTCCTCTACAGAGATGGGTTTGCGTACATTCTGGTCAGCTCACGTCTCTATTCCCAAGGAATGCAATGTTTTAATCACCTTTCTGTTCCACCTAGGTTGTCTTTGGTCAGTCCCTTGAGCCACGTCTCTGGGCCTTTTCGTTGCCATGCTAAGCGCCGCCTCAGTTCTTCGATTAATAAATCTCATTCTATCTTTTGTCGCACCGGTAAGATATCGTCCATCGGGTCCGCTCTATGTGCTCACAGCCCTGTTCAGCTCTCTCTTATTTTTCTGGGAATATTGTGCGTTCATCTACTCCTCGCGTAACGGAGCGAACTAACTTGATCGCAAACAGTTTTATCTGGTGTTCGACCACCATGACAGTGACACGGCTGGTTCTCAACGTCGCTGGGATGGCTGAGAAAAGGGCTTTGCATATGTTCCAGATTGAGCTAGCTCAGTTTGAGTACGTTGATGAGGATAATGAACCGTGAACGTGAAAACAGTCAATAATGAGAGGTACCAGGTGGAACAGGATACCATATATTTAGTTGCGGGCTAGCATAAAATAATACCCCATATTGTTCGGTATATATTGATAAAAATGTATTTTAGAGGTCCTGGCCTGATGATTATGTGTGAATGAGGATAAAAAGCAAAGGCTTGCTGGTGGAACAATAATACTATTACAAACTGATGTACGTGGTGGATGGCAAGCAACAGTTGGCATAAGTTGATGAATGAATGCAAATGCGATGCGATGCGAAAGAAACAGAAACTCCGGGAAAGAAGGAAGTCACATATGTTGAACCGACGAATGCGAATGAGGAAACAGTGAGACAGGGCGCACGGCATGAGATGATCGCATTATGCATCTGGGTTGTAACCAGCGAGGTAAGGATGTTGCAAGACTCGTTTGGCTGGGCAGGGATGTCAGACAAATTAACAGATGGGAACTGCAATTTAATGCACACACCTGAAATACGCCTCGCAGAATCGTAAGCGAGAAGGCGCTGATCGTTTCAGAATTTATCAAAGATAAGCTTGATGAGATAGGGAGGAATCAACAAACTCTAAGAATATCAATCCCGGCGGGGTCCAGATCGGGGACAAGCCTAGAGATATCTTGGACGCCCCAACGGGGGAAAGTGGCCTTGTAATCAGGGAGATTGGAAACGCCAGGCCACATGTCTTCGTTCGGAGTGCCCAAAATTCTAAGGCGATGCGCTCGTTAGACTCGCAAGTAACAAATTTCCGAGGAGGAATGTACCTGAAAATTTTGAAAATTTGGTCGATTTCAGAGTCTCCCGGAAAGAGTGGCTGTCCTTGACAAGCCATCTCAGCAAAGATGGCTCCGACAGACCACATATCGATAGCAGTTGAGTAATGACGGGAGCCTAGGAGAACTTCAGGGGCCCGATACCAAAGAGTAACCACCTGGCGAGTAGCATGGTTAGGAACATTTGATGACTGGGAATAGCGCTCGTATTACCTCATGGGTATATGTTCGCATGGGTATCCCGAAGGCGCGAGCAAGCCCAAAGTCTGCCAACTTAAGATTATTGTGCTTGTCGATGAGGAGATTCTGGGGCTTCAGATCTCGATGGAGGATCCGATGAGAATGACAATAGAGTAAACCGGAATTGAGCTGGTGAAAAAATTTCTACGACCAGAATGTATAGATTAGAACGCGTGATAGGAGCAGATTGGAAGAAAAAAAGGAACGCGTCCTGGTCACGTGATACCACTCCGCAGGCGAAGGAAGGCCACTCGTGAAGTAGAAGACTCCAAGGGGTAGCACAATAGTCCCAGATATAGGTAGAACAAGGCGCCTAGGAGTCGTACCGGAATCAAAAGCAGAGATATATGCCCGGGCAAGGACAGCGCCCGTCACCCCTGGACAGTCATTCCGGCCGAAATCTCGCGTCAGACGCGTCGAAAATTTCGCATCGGGCGTGTTGCATGGATAGAGCGCTCACAAAGTCACGGAGAGTGGTGGCAACTGTACCTTGGACATTTCCAGCGTAATAGGAGTATGATTTTTGTTGGCAAGGTCCATATATCGCTTCAAGTCGACATCGAGGAATTCGAAGACCAGATAGAGCTTCTGGTCAGCATGAACGATGTCAAGAAGGCTGGATAAGAAGCTGAGAACCGATAATGATGGGTTAGGCCTTGAAACATACCGAACGACATGGTCGTCCTTGAGCTCCTTGAGGAGACTAATCTCCCGGATGGCGGTGCTGGGTACACCCTCGTCCTCGGCCTCGAGCCTGATTTTCTTGAGGGCGACTATTTGGTTGGTGCTGGTATCCCGGGCCTTGTATACGACGCCGTACGTGCCTGCCGGTCAGAGGTCATCAGCGGAGCCGTCATCGATAGAGCCGTGTACCGTACCTTCGCCTACAGCAACGCCCAGCCCGGAATCATCAGCATCCTCGGAAACGATCACAACGGTCTCCACGCACCGACTTTCTCCACCTTTGAGTATCTGGCAGTGTCCTAATCAGTCCCAGTCCGATCTCGATACTGCATGGCTGCTCACCGTTCCATTTATTGGTATCGAGTGCAAGTCTTGGTACCGAGTTCAACGTCGAGCTTGGCCGCGAAAAATAAAGCGAGCTGAGCACTACAGCGGACGATGAGGATGGAAAGCAGTGGAAAGATACAGAGAGTGCATGGAGGAGTGGTGTACCGCTTTTATGCGTCAAATTATTGGATCTTGATTGATGACGTAATTTATCGGTATTGAATTCGCTGTGCCAAACTTTTCTGCCGTCTGTGTACGATATGATTACATCTCTTAAGCGGTGTAATGTGCCACACTAATCGTACCAAGATAGCGACGTCGATTTGTGGCAAAAAAACGTACAATACTGTGCGACAAAGTGCACCTCATGCCAGGCTCGTGGTTAATATCACCACACGTTGGATCATCAGCTCCCTTCAAGGACCGTTGGCATGCCGTCGTCCATACAATATCCGTCCACTACGTTCGTCTCCCTGCACAGTGCGCGGATTCCGGATCCTCTGCGCTCAGCGCTCATCACTGACATTTTACAAATAGATGTGATCAGAATTGTGGCACTCATTTATCCGTGGATCTTACTCACTAGAATGTACAACTTGTAGGTCTTGTCGTAGTCATCGGTAGAGCAGTGAACATAGTAATATAACGGTCCATCCTCTAGCGCCTAATCGCGCCTGCTCCTGCATGTTTCTGAACTTTAATTCAGCAGCTGACTGAGAATTTCAAAGCGACGGCGACGACGAATGACATATCTTCATAGCCTTTCCTCCGCATTGACCC